CTACAAAATTGTCCAGCAGTTCGCAAACTTGAAGATGATCCTGCGAAACAAAGCTTTTTGGTCCCATCCGAAAGTCAGTAAGAATATGGGAGCTGAAGTCCATCAGTTACTGCTAAATAATCGCGTAGTATTCACACGCTATCAATACGCAGTCAAGGGCGGCATTAAAACTGGAATTTAAATAGCAGGAAACACGTGGAGAGCGCGAGGGGGCTCGGTGAGAAATCGAACTTTCCGGAGCTGAGTCATGAAGATCAGCGAAACACGGGTGCCTGTCCTTTTGACTTCTACCTGTGCTCTCAGCACGGTAAGTCGTTCAGTAATAATCACAAAATTAAGGTATCAAAGTCAGTGAGATCGGGAATAATAACCATGCAGAAATAAAAAGGACGGGTTCTCTGTCCATATTCATTTCTGACTAGCAAGCCTGAACCCTCTTCTGAAAGTTTAACAATGGCGAATGAGGATAAGACCACTTCGAACGAACAGCACATCGAAATTTCTTCTAATGAATCTCACCGAGTAATTGAGATTCTTGTAACCACCAGGAGACCCAGAGGGCCATTTCACCTTATTGTTCTTATGCTCAGAAGAGGCAAAATGAAATTTCCGCACTACCAGCTGTCATGGACCTAGAAATTATTGCAAAAAGCCTTCATCGAGGAAGCAACTGCACAAATTGCTGCGCTAATACAAAGTGTTTTGCGAGACGACAAACATGTCTGGACCATACTATTAAAAAAACCGGTTAGTCAACCCGGATCAGACACGCCGTTTGAATGAATGAAAACTGACCCCTTTTCAGGCATTTGATTGGTTTTCTCACTCAGCAAAACGTAGTCCTAAGATGCCGTTTAAGATACGATCGTGAGGGTTGCCTCATATCAGTCCGCTAGAAAAACTGTTGCATATTACAAAAAGCTAGATCGAGGGCCAATCACGGTTGAATGCTGACGTAATGTCCTAGTAGTCTACAGGCATAAGGTAATGATGTCATCTGTGTGGATTTAAACTCTAATACCTGTAGGTATATACATTGCAGGGGACGTTGTAATGAGAAGAATCAAGTAGACATTTTGGTGCTTGGAAACGATATACAATGAATTCTAGAACTTCAGTAGAGCTACTACAATTTGTGACGAAGGCGTAGAGGGGAGTTAGGAATAATCATTCAGTTTGGGCTATCGCTACGGCCGCGAAATCTGGTTAGAGGCATAACAGTACGTAAATTAACAAAGAAAAGACTAATTTGTCTAATGACGAGAATTGTCATAAAATCAACATTCCAAACGGAGAATCGTTCAGTCTTTTATGAGTGAAATAAAAATATAGGACCTACAGTTCACAGTATTTTAAACAATAGGAACCGTTTCAAAGGAAAGTAGACTGCACAATATGGTTCCCGTCACAGGGAACGTGCGTTAGGATAAATATGTCTGTGCCCAGTTTTATACCATTTTTTTGTTGCCGATTAATGATTGGGATGTGTAGATGACAACTTTTCGAGTCCATAATCAAAACTTTACAGGATCGTGTTTTTCCGTGAAGCAGGTTTACTTCAACATGAAAAAGCTCCGAATTCATGCGGTGATTGGCTCAATCAGACTAAAGGGGGAGGGGAGGTGAGGGGTGGTTGCCTCGGAGGCGCCGTTAGACTGAGACAATGTTTTTTGGGCCTGCTTTTCATCTTTTCAGTCAATCACGGCTCGACCAACATCTGGGATCAGAAACACAACACGCGCACGCACACTACGCGGAGAATTGCCAGACGGATTCAGTTATAGTGGTCATGAATTCTTCCTCTAAACGAGGCCTATTAATGATTCGACACATTGAACTATCTGTCGTTGTGGATAGAGCATTTATCCAGGCTTATAAGGTTCCCTACCTCCTAACTAGAATGCTGGTCGAGGTAGGCTGAATTAGACTAGTTCACATGATAAGAGTGAGGCTTTTTGTTCAACTTTACATATGCTTCTATGTATGAGCAGGATTTCCTTGGTACTCCATCTAGAATCTACCAGATGACTACCAGGCTCACGTAATGAATAGGCATTTTGGCAGATTTCGAATAATTTATTTTATTTTGACCCATCTGTTAAAAGTCGGTGACCTCGGTGTGATTAACATCACGGCTCAAGCTGGGCCCCCACAGCTTAGGTGGTTATAACGTCGGCTGTACTCAAGCCCCCTCCCCCCTTGTTGTCGTGGGTTTGCATCCCATCGAGGTGGTCGATTTTTCACATATAGATCAAAATAAAATAAAATATTCAAAATCTGTGAGAACACAAAAGTAATACTTTTGTTCTTTAATGATCATCACAACAGGAAAGGCCCCATTTGGGTTTTTTTGAGAATATCAGTTAATTTAGGGTAGGGTGATTCCATAATAACAGCACAGTTAGTGGCCGAAAACCCATACACGCGTGTTTCGCCGATATTCTCTCGCTACCGGAAAGCAGACAGGGAATGCCGAGGGACCCACTGACGAGCCGAATCCTTCGCAGCTGTGTCTTGCAGCGGCCGAATATCGGCAGAACACGCGTGTATGGGCTTTTGGCTACTACCTGTGCTGTTAGTATGGAATCACCTCACCCGGAAGAAAACAAACGCAGCCGAAAATATGTGTCAGAAGTGGGATTCGAACCCACGCCCACAGAGTGGACTGCGACCTGAACGCAGCGCCTTGGACCGCTCGGCCATCCTGACGTGTCTTCAGCCCTCACCATTACTCTATACAACTACCTAAGAATCTCCTGCATAACATTTAAACTGGTCATAGGCTCGAGAAAAAAATGCAAAAACATCTCCAACTGAATTCCAACTGGTTGTTGGTACATATTAGGCCTTCTCAAATGCTAATTAGTTAGATTGCGTCAACTTGAAGAGGATGGCCTGAAACGCGCACTTCGTCTAGACAAGACGACTGTGAACTTCAGTTCCAGTCCAGGCGTTCTAAATGGGTAGTCTTTCATAAGCGACACCACTGTGCAATGAATACCGAAACAATATCTGATGCGATTAGAGGACGCATTTTAGGTAGTAGTATTAGTTACAATAATAATCCATGAGTTCCTTAACCCAATCGACGTCATCGTTGATTCCTCACAATTGAAGTCACCTTTAAACGGCTGGTAGTACTGTACAGTGAAAAGTTGTCAGTTTCGGCGGCTGGACCCAAACCCTGGTTTCTACAGCCACCTGATATCCAAATTGTCCAGACGACGAGTCAGTTTCGGCAATAATTTAGAACGCCTGGACTGGAACTGAAGTTCACAGTCGTCTTGTCTAGACGAAGTGTGCGTTTCAGGCCATCCTCTTCAAGTTGACGCAATCTAACTAATTAGCATTTGAAAAGGCCTAATATGTACCAACAACCAGTTGGAATTCAGTTGGAGATGTTTTTGCATTTTTTTCTCGAGCCTATGACCAGTTTAAATGTTATGCAGGAGATTCTTAGGTAGTTGTATAGAGTAATGGTGAGGGCTGAAGACGCGTCAGGATGGCCGAGCGGTCCAAGGCGCTGCGTTCAGGTCGCAGTCCACTCTGTGGGCGTGGGTTCGAATCCCACTCCTGACACATATTTTCGGCTGCGTTTGTTTTCTTCCGGGTGAGGTGATTCCATACTAACAGCACAGGTAGTAGCCAAAAGCCCATACACGCGTGTTCTGCCGATATTCGGCCGCTGCAAGACACAGCTGCGAAGGATTCGGCTCGTCAGTGGGTCCCTCGGCATTCCCTGTCTGCTTTCCGGTAGCGAGAGAATATCGGCGAAACACGCGTGTATGGGTTTTCGGCCACTGACTGTGCTGTTATTATGGAATCCCCTTACCCTAAAATATACTACTAGCTGCACGTCGGCAGTTAAGGAATATTACGCGATTGTCCGCTCTGGCTGATGCACGTCGGCCCAAATATTCATACATAAAAGTACTTAGGTCTGGGCCTATAGACTTTTAGTATACTGATCTACTCTAGGTTCGCAGTTAATTTCTAAGGAAATTAAAAAGCTACAGTTTCAGTTACGACGTTCTCAGATTATCGAATAGTAGAGAGATACATAGGTGTAATCGACAGATGCTACCGTTTTGATCTAGTCAGACTTGAATGTCTACTTCTGGCTAAGGTGCCATCATCTACAATAATATTCCAAATACATAAACGGAAGATTTGAGAGGTTGAGACACTTGCTCCACGTTTTCAAACTTTTGGGGTCTGAAATAGTGCTGCTAGTCTACACAAAGCGTCCATATTTTCGGCTGTTATCAAGCAAAATCCCTGAATGCAACTGACGGGCGAACTTAAATAGTACCGTTCATGACTGCCGGAAGGTAACCCCCCTAGCCCAACTGAAAAGACGTTAGACTCAGTCACTAACTGCACCAGTCTCCAGACCTGAACTTTTAGCAACCTCGAGCGCGTGGGAAGCTTCTTGGAAACTTAAAAATGCCTTTGAATTCCTTGTGTTTGTCATTGGGTTATTCCCTTTTCACTCTGTTTACATGTTCATACTGGTTTGGATGTCGCTATTGGTCGATCAAACAGCCCCCCCCCCCCCCAGTCAGTCCTCATTTTGGATTTCCAATTATTCTCCTGCAGTCTATTCGGTTTGACTGTCGCGGACGAAGATGTCCCCGTGTTTCCCACAGCCTTCCAAGTCACGGTGCTCGAGGCACCAGAGGGGCCGCGTGGAGATCGAACCGAGACGCACGCTTCCCACCTGCGTGGGAGGTGGAATTTGGATGCAGGTGGTGGGTAATGATTTTTTATGGTGCGGGTGTTGGTGGCAGAAGGTGTGATGGTGTGGTGTAGCCGGCGGTTGTCTACCGCAGGTTTTCGTGAATGCGCAGGTGGCCTAATAGACCCAAGCGGTGGGTGAATGTGCAGTTGTAGTAAGGGCAGTTGAGGTGAATGCGTCTGGTTTATGTTGGTGCTCCATGAGCTGGTGCCAGCCTCTGTGTAATGGATTCGCAAGTAACCGACCAGGCCGATGTTTGAGGTTAAGGTACAGTCGCAATTAGGAAGAGGAGGAGCCGAGATGCACATTTCCCACTTGCAAGGGAGGTGGCAGCTGGATGCTTGTGATGGGCGAGGACGTCGCGTGATGTAGGTTGGGGGGGTAGATGTGATGGTCTGGCGTAGGTGGCGGTTATCAACCGCAGGTTATCGCGAACGCGCATGTGGCCTAATAAGCCCACGCGGTTGGTGAGTGTGCGGGTGCAGTGATGGCAGTTGAGGCAGATGCGGCGAATGTATGTGGACGCTCCATGTACTGGCTCGCCGGTTCCTGTGCGATGGATTCGCAAGCGACCGACCAGGCCGACGTGTGATGGGAAAGTGCGATTGCAATGAGGACAGGCAAAGGCCGGGTTCTCATCACCGATTTTGACGGAGTTGATGTCAGTGTTTGTTGGTGTGTCAGGATTATGTGTAATTTTAATGAGCATGACTGACGCCACAGCGGCAGAGGTTAAGGCGATGAGGGAGGGGGTGAGAAGGATGAAGAGGAGAAGGAGGAAGAGGAGCAGGAGGTGGAGGAGGGGGAGGAGGAGTAGGAAGAGGAGGGGGAATGGGAGTGGTAATTCAAGAGTGCGTTCCGTGTTAGTTGTCGGTGTGTGGGACGAGGCAGAGTAAGACGTAGAGACAGCGGCCGATGTAGTCCAGGTACTGCAGTTGGTACGAAGGTTTCCCATAAGGCCAGTCGGTGCGCAGAACGTCCGCTGACAGTGTGAGCAGGTTAGGGGCGGTTGAGCGTTGATGTTACGGGGTGGGCGCAGTTGAGATTTGCGAGCCTCACGTTTGGCTTTGGCAGCGGGTGATGCGGTTGGCTTCGTAGATCGCTGCGCCTATCTTCACTGTCCTTCTCCAGGACGGTTGGTCTCGAGTGAGGTCTACCCAGTTGGCCGGGCTGATCTGCAAGTGCTTTAAGGAGGTTTTCGGAGCTCCTTGCAGCCTCGGACTTGACCACCCTGTCAGCGTGAACCCGTCACAACATCTCCATAGAAGAGTCGTTTGGATAGGCTCTCGTCGTCCATCCGCACGAATTAGCTGTTTCAACGCAGTTGCCGGTGGTCTCAGCATGTCGTGAATGCCGAAGATTCCCGTCCTGTTCAGTTCATCCGTGTTGGCAATCTGGTTCTTCAACCTCAGCTTCAGTATTCGACGAAGACAAAAAAGGTGGAAGTGGTTGAGTCTTCGTGTCTGCCTCATGTTCACCGTCCAGGTCTCTGCTCCATGCAGCAGTGTCGGCAGGATGACTGCCCTGTACATCTTCAGCTTCGTGTTGAGATGGAGATCGTGACGGTTCCATACATTGTTCTGCAGGCGGCCGACGGCCTGGCTGGCTTCGGAAATCCGGCGAGCCACTTCATCGTCGGCTTGGGTGTTACGGAACAGCATGCTGTCGAGGTAGGTAAAGTTGTCCACGACTTGCAGTTTGGCGCCGTTCACGATGATTTGGGCCGCAACGTAGGCAGCGTCGGGTAGTGGTTGATGTATGACCACCGTCTTCTGCGTGTTGACGATCAGTCCGAAGTTTTCGCAGGCGGCGGAGAAGAGATCCATGCTTCACTGCATGTCTCCTTCAGTAGTTACACTGAAGGCGCATCCATCGCCGGACAGAAGTTCGTGGAAGGTGTTTGTCGATACACGCGACCGGAAGTGCATCCGTCGCTGATTGAGGAGGTGGCCGTCCGTCCTGTAGGTGATGCGGATCCCAGGAAGTTCGTAACGGCAGGCGTCCATCAGCATGACAGAGAACATGAGACTGAAGAGGGTAAGCGCAAGGACGCAGCCCTGCTTCACTCCGTTAATCACTACGAATTCCTGTGAGACAGCTCCATTGTCCGTGAAACGCACCAGTCGTGACGACCCATCCGAGTGAATCGTTCAAAACAGCCGAATTTCCACAAACCGTCAAGATCCACCCTGTCGAAAGCTTTCATCGGACCGACGAATGTAGAGTACAGGTGGACCCACATGTACTGACAATTCTCCTGACGTTGGCGATCGACGAAGACCGTGTCCGTGGTCCCACGATGACGACGGAAGCCGTACTGGCTTTTCGGCGGAAAACCTTTTTCTAGGTGATTGTTCCGACGTTGGAAAATGATGAGAGCGCAAATTTTCCACGCGATGTTCAGCAAGGACATGGCTCGGGGTTGTGTTAGAGCTGGCGGTTTCCTCTCCGCTTGTGGCGTCTTTGAAATCCTGCGGGGCATCTTGACGCCACATCTCCTGGAAGAGCGCAGTCATAGGATCCATGAGTTGGAGGCCACCGTGCTTATAGGTCTCAGCAGGGATCACGTGCGATCCGAGAGCTTTCCTGCTGGAGATCTGCTGCACGGCCCTGATGGTTTCGTGGAGAGAGAGAGAGAGAGCGGTAGGTTTAGGTCAGCGTTAGACTCCACCTGAGGCAGACATGCGATGGCGGCGTCAGAGATGATGGAGAGACGGTTGAAGACGCCTCGGAAGTGCTCGGCCCATTGTTGTAAAATTTGCGTCTTCTCAGTCAAGGGGGTACTGCCGTCGGCGCTGAGGAGAGGAGCAGTGCCCTTTGTCGGCGGACCGTAGACAACTTTGATCGCGGAGAAGGAGTTCTTTTATTCGTTGCGGTCCGCGTACCCTTGGATCTCCTCAGCTTTGCGAGCAGTCTGGACGTTCTGCATCACGCACAGACGTTGCTGTAGGTGGCGGAGACTGCGGTAAAAAGCAGCTTTGTTGTCATCAGTGAGATGGTCTACGCAGGCTCTGTGTAGGCGGTCCTTCTCGGCGAGCAGATTGCTGATGACGGCATCGTTGTCATCCAACCATTCCTGATGTTGGCAACGTGCGCGACCGAGGACGGCCAGCGCCGTCGACTGTACTGTGTCTCGAAGTTGACTCCATCGGTTCTCCACGGAGCCGTACTCATCGGCAGCAGCGGCGGCGGCGGCCACTGGAAAGTTGTCTAGCCTTTGAGCTAGCTCGTTGCTGAAATGGAGGTGGCGAGCAGGCAAAAACACCAAGGCAATATTCAGCTTACTTGGGGGACGTTTACCTCGTGGTCTTCCGCGAGGCTGTAGGCGAATCAGCATCTTCGAGATGGTCGGTCCACCCATCAGCGCCCGCGATCGCCTTCGTCACCAGCACATCCCTCTGGACGAGGACATAGTCCAGCAGGTGCCACTGACGCGACCGAGGAGGCCTCCAGGTGGCCTTCTCTCGCCTAGGTACGCAGAAGGTATTGGTCAGGACAAGCTGGTGTTCTGCGCAGGCTTGTAGGAGGAGCAGGCCATTGTCATTGAGCCGTCAGGACCATAGTGACGCAGCGCTTCTCTACAGGCATCATGGTCTGTGCCAAAGCGGGCGTTGGGGTCACCAATGCCAGTCAACTTACCCTCCTTCGGCACAGTCGCAAGGAAAGCCTGCAGGTCCTCATAGAATTTATTCCTCGCCTCGTCCGAGTTGGTCATCGGTGGAGCGTAGGCACTGATGATGGTGGCGGATTTGCCTCCCCGGAGAGGCAGGCGAAGGCTCATCAGGCGACCGTTGATGCCCTGCGGCAGACAGGGCAGACGTCCCACGATTTCGTTTCGGATGGCAAAAGCGACACTCGCGTCTCGTCGCTCTGCCCTGGGGCAACCGCTCCACAAGAAGGTGTAGTCGGCACCCACCTCCTCCAGTTGGCCTTGTTCGGAGAATCGAGTCTCGATGAGTGCGGCGATGTCCACCTTGTAGCGCGTCAGTTCCCGATCCACTAGCGCTGTCCTCCGTTCCAATCAGTTGCTCATTGCATTGCCTAAAAGAGAACGAACCTTCCAGGTTTCCAGAGTGAGCAGTCTCGCTCTACTCACCTGGCGAGTGGAACGGCGGGGAGGAGAAGGAGGGGGAAGATCGAGAATGTTGTTTCAGTTTTGATTGTGTCGACCGGGAGTTTTGCGGCTGGGGCCACGGTCAGCCTGCAGATGACGTGGATTCCCAGCATTTGTTTAAGGCACCTCTGCTAGTCCATTCCCCCTCGCGAGGGTTTGCAGTACTCTCCTTTGCTAGGGCTGCCTACGACAACGCCGTAGGACTTGAAGGGAGGGGTGGATGGTGGAAGTGTAGAGGGAGGGGATGCAGCGCTTTGTAAACGGTGTGCAGACGAATTCGACTGAACGACATTTAGCTTACAATAAGGACAAACACAAACGAGCAGAAAAAAGCAAACAGACAAGAACAGCAAACAGCAAAGGCAACAGAGGGAATTCAACAGATCGGCATCTAGTTCACAGACAAGCAGACAAATAGCAACCCAGCAGAGCACTTTTCGCTTCCCTGGGGACACTTACCTTGTGGTCTCCTGCGGTGTTAAAGACGACGTCGCGGCTAGATCGCAGTTGGTAGCCCGGAATGGGAAGCGGACGGCGACCTTAACCCTAATCCCCACCTTAACCCTAACCCTAACCTCAACCGTTACCGTTAACCGTTAACCCTAACGGCAACCCTAACCCTAGCCGAAATCGTAAACGCAACCATACCCCTTAGACATAGCCGTAACTGAGAAGCCTAACCGTAATACTGGAACCTATTCCTACGCTAAAACCCTAACCATAATCCAAAAACTTAAGCCTAAAGGCATAACCCTAACCGGTAAATCGGAAACCAGTAACCGGTACCCTAATCCTAACCTCAAGCGTAAAACGGAAGCCAAATGTGTCAGATATGATTATGGAGCCCCACAAAATAACCCCAGTAAACAAATCTCCCAGCGACCTGTAATGCGGGTCCGGGCTACCAACTGCGATCTAGCCGAAGTCGCGTCTCAGAGATGCAAAGGTGGTGGTCCGTCCGGCCGGCTGAGCCGGGTCTAGCCCGCCGGTTGAGGCGGCTACCGGGGTGTCGCCCGTAGGAAGAACCTAACTTCGGGGAACCACAGGTAAGAGTTGGTTGCCAGTAAGTGGATGCTAGACGTAGACTGCACCCGTGAGCAAGTGAGCGGCCGTCGCGTAAACCCACAACTGGACACTCCAACACTCCTGTTATATTTAGGATCTAGTTGAAATGCCTCACAGTTGACCTTTCTCTTTCCTGTCTCGTACGCCAGTCCACTGTCCACGCCGTTTAACCAACCGGCGCAGAAATCTGGCGCAGTGGATGGTGCGGCATGAAACCTACAAACAGACGTGCTACCCCTCCCCCTCGTTTGCGGCAGTATGCCCTGCGCGGCCAATTAGCGCATGTCATGACTCCAGTCAAGCCCACAATGTGGGCCGGAGTCTCTACAGCGCAGCCCGTTGGGGGGGGGGGGGGGCGTATTCGGCCATACGCGTATGCATACTCGCTGGCAGCATGACATGGGAAATCGCGCGTGCAACGTCTGTTCAAGGGAATGGAGGGCGAGAAGGCGCAGGCCGCGCTCCGCGAAGTAGATGACCAGCACGTATGCGGCACGCGTAGACGTGCCTAAGCCGGGTCAACAGACGACGACTCCAAGGAGAACAACAGGCATCGAAACATTCCTTCGGCCTATAAAGTCCTACGTCATTACATACGCCACGACTAGGACAAGACGATCACACGGAGCTTAGGAATATCCAGCATACACGGCCCGTCGACTAATTCACCCACAAGGGGGACACAAACACAACCGACCCCATTTGAGGTGACGACACACAACACAGGAGGCCACCGATATTCACAAACGATGGTCAGAGGGCCAAGGCAGCGAACGAAGAAAAAAATCGACCAGCCCGAGATCAACTGATTCGGCCGTTTATTCAAATACGTTGTAACGATGGAGACTGCAATTACATTGGAGAAACCGCCTACATGAGCACAAACTGACAACTCGGAGACTAGACCTAAACTCACAGCTTGCGGCTCACATCCGGGAAAATGGTCACAGTTTTGATTTTCAAGGAGCAGCCGTCCTAGGCAGGGATACCTCAAGGACAGAGCGTCCCACACTTGAGGCTTGGTACTCAGATGCCAACTTCATCAACACGCATCTAGACATTCCTTCGGCCTATGAAGTCCTACGTCACTATATACGTCGTGACGAGCCTAAGACTACCGAGCAAACGCGGCCTGCCGACCGCTTCACCTAAATGGAGGACGCAAACGCAATGAACCCCAAATGAGGTGACGACACACCATACAGGAGGCCGCCAACACTCACAGGCGATGGCCAGTAGGCCAAGGCCGCGAAAGAAGAGAAAAAATATCGATCAGCCCAAGGCCAACCAGTCCGGCTGTTCATTCAAAATTCTGATCGATTTTTTTCACTAAACTCTTTGATAAAGGAGAGCCGCCCCAGCTCATCGAATCGTCAGCCAAACAAGTCCCTCGATCTGGTGAGCACTTAGTTTTCCTCAGATTATCAACCCGGATCTCTTACTTTTGCTAACCCCAACTCGGTCCTACTAGGGGTGGAGATTTTGACTGGAGTAACCACTTCTTAATGTGGCCGTTATGACGCATCCACTTCTGTTGAACACGAGGCCCTCCCGCTAAGTGAAATTTGGTACACACTGAATAGAAACCAGTCCGTAAGTGACACACTGCAGATAGGCTGTTTATCGGGTTTTTCACTTCGACCTACCCTCGCACGTCTTCCCCGTGGAAGAAGGTGGGAAGAGAGAGAGAGTGAATGAAGTAGATGTGCCGCAAGGTTGCGTCGCAGGCAGCTGACTGGTGAGCCTGCCTCCTTGGCATCAGCGGGTCTCGTCGTTTGCGACGAAGGGTTCCATGGTGCTCAGTGTTTGCGATTCCCGTCGAAGGTTTATAGAATGTGCAACCATGAGCCGCTGCCGCTCACTTTAAGCTGCTTTTATTGAGAACTCTTAAGGCCTGATTCGCTATCCGCAATATTAAGTCGGTGGGAGATGACGTATGCTCCTCCGATTCACACCAATCCTGTAGTCTGTAAGAACACAAAGATGAAAGAACTGACTGCTGATGTCCAGCATGAAGTCACCTCGGGCCATGAGAGGGAAGAACCTGCTTTAAGAGAGCAACAAGTTGAAGCCTAGTAGATGGGTTCAGGGAAGCGGAATTAAAACAGCAAAGTCTCCCTTATTCCACCGTCTAGTCTTATATGATGACAGCAAAAAGAAAGACTAATAGAAAATGAGCAAGAATGATTTCGCATTTGGATAGAGAAAGAGAGAGGGAACGAAACGGCATACCATTTTGGTGAAAACTGTCTGAGATGCTCCGGACTATAGTCGGACGAAAACGAATCTCTTCCGACTGACAATCATGTCAATTGACTTAAGTCTTCGCTTTCATCCAAAGCTTGCTTAGTATTGTCGCCTTGACGGCGTCACCAGTTAGAACAGCTAACAAATTGCCAGAATCGTTGTTTAGACGGAAAATAGTCAGGTGTTTGAGGTGGAGTGGAAAAGTGCTCATTGGTGAATGAGACTGGGGAGAGTGGCTGACAAACTAATAGGGGCTAGATCGCAGTTGGTAACCAGGCCCCGTATTACAGGTGACTGGGGGGTTGTTTACTGGGACTGTTTTGTGGGGCGATCTAGCCCAGTCTTCATTTCTGAACCACGTTTGGCCAAGTGGTGACCAGAAGGCGAAAAGAAGTACTGTTTAATCGTATTGATTTCATGTGTATCGTAAGGGTCTTCCAAGAAAGCTTGTAAAGCATGCGTTTTAATAAGCCCTCCACCCTTTAAGCCATCTATTTTAAGGAATTATCCGTATGAGGGTCACATGTGATTATGGAGCCCCACAAAATAGGGTAACGATCGGGAGATGGCACCCAGAAAATCCGTCACTTAGAAATAATACCTTTAACAGTGGACTCAAACGCCTTCATATTCTATCAGCAGTTGAAGGCCTACTTTCACGCACTACTTGGACTTTCCCCGACGGCCTGACATGGGCTGGCCGAACGAACATCACAGGAGGTTACATGGACGATGGTCGCTGTTACCCAACTTTCCCCATCGTTACACACATGCACCTGAATATACGGCATACATTCGCATTATGGTAGTTTATTACAAAACAAAATCACTTTTAAATAGGATAAGTCTGCACAACATGGGACAGGAACAGTTCCCAGGCATCTGTCAAAGACATGGCATTGAGGCCAAACCAAAGACGATATTGTACTTCATGTATGGGAGCCCACACAGCTCGACCACATACTGGGCATCCCTCGTGGAGTTTCCTTTTCAGTCTACTCCAGTATGCCTCAATGGCGTCCTGTGGTAGGGTCCTTGAAATTCTTTTAGTGGTTAACAGAGAAATGTAAATAACCTTCTAAAGGAAGACGATTACACGCCTTCCACTCGTCCGTTACCACTATACTGCCTTTGGCGACCAATTTTGTAATTACAGAACGTAGAGCGGGCCAACTTCGAACATTCACCTGTTCAAACAAGGCTTTTCGTCGGCTAGTATCGTACATTCCGACCAGCCACCACCCATAAAACCCCTATTACCACCTGTCCCGTAAGACAGGCTGCTTTGGTTAGGCGAATTTTTTTGGGTGCCGTCTCCCGATGGTCACCCAAAATAGCCCCAGTAAACAAACCCCCGGCCATCTGTAATACGGGGCCTGGCTACCAACTGCGATCTAGCCGAAAACTGATTAAATCGTTAGTTTCTACCCATCCAAACTCCAAAGGTGGAGTGAGAGAGCATGTCGAGCAGCGGGTATAGCATTTGTGCAAGGGAACTTGGGATCACTCTCAGAAGTGGCTGACAAAAGCAGAAATGTGAAGAATTTGGTGGTTGAAACGACTCATAATATTGTTTGATTGATGACTCAAAAATCAGGTCGAAATCATGCTATGACTGAAAATTTTAGAATTCCGTTATTTCCCGTGGCAAGGGTATTGTATATGACCGGGGTTACTTACCTCGGGGAGCAATTGGGCCAAAAGAAAATTATTGACGATATGTATTTGAGGAAAGAATTAAAGATCTCGCGGTGGTTGTTGCGTGAGGGTGATCAAGATGCTTTAAGGTAGTCGTCGGAGT